TCTTCTGAAAAATTTGTTAATGTCTACTACCAATATATAAGGTACTGGACTAAATGAAAGAGTTTCTAGTACAAGAGAAAGCAGGATATTGTAACAGCCAGGTCATTGCCTTGGTTCACTCTTTTGGTTTATGTCTTACAACCAAATGATACCCTCATTTGTATCAGTTGAGCCTATAATTAGTCTGATCAATAAACCGTATCTAGCAGCCAATTGCATGGTTTTCTCTCTTGAGCCAGTCCATCGTACACCTCCAGTGCTGCTGGTTTGTGACTGATGGCGCTGGTCAATACAGTGATCTGCCTGATGTCTGTAACTCTACGTCCTCTACCGCCTTCCTGAATTGAAAGGAGAAAGAAACGTAAATATACTTTGGAGGTCTGCTGCTATAGCTCCCATTGAAGGATGAGAGACATGAGGAGATTCAGTCAGGCAAGTGTTCCCTTGAAAGAAACTATAATGTGGCAGAAACATGGAGATAGGAACGCTCTGTCAGTGTACGTTTCCCCCTCCATAAAGCTTTCAGCTGTCACGGTTTGCAGATGCATTAATCTTTAATCAATTGAATGCTTTCTGCAGTGAGGTATTCAGGGAAAGAACAGGTCATGACAAGCGCTCGCCTAGAATAACTAAGCGCTCGTGCATAAGCTGTGCCATCAGACCTTGCTGGATAGCAGCAGGGAATAGGCAGAGAGCTAAAAATAGCCTTTCCTTGCAGTGTTTTTCCAGACTATTTTTGATTCTTCATTTTGATAAGGTCGACTGGCTATTTGCTAAAAATAACCAATCCTGGCAAACTGAGGACAAAAAGTAGAGTATTTATAACCATCTCAGGCTCTTCAGTACATTTGTCAGCTGCAGATAATCTAGGATCTTGTCATCGGTCAGTTGCCAGTGTTTTATGTAAGTCGGTAATACATAAAGCATTAATTGGAATGAAGAATGAGTGTATCTTGCCACTCTGATTTTCTCAGATGAAATACACATCTTTTTGTACATATATCCTTGCAGGTTACCTTGCCCTGTTCTTCATGATACTGTCTGAATTGCTTCAGAAAGAACCAAAACAATCCCCTGTTAGGTCAGCCAATCTTACAAAAATAGCTGCATATGCAATTAAAAGTGCAAAAGCGGCTTTACTCTGTTGCACGCCTGATATTTTAGATGCAGAAATTTTCGGGAAGTGTGATTCATGTAGCTTCCTCCATGAGAAAGTTTTTTATCCAGCCCTTGTGTGCCACCATCTCTCTGATGAAATGAAATCACCGCTCTGCCAGCAGCATGAGAGAAACAGAGGGATTCTGTAACCAAGTAACTGGAGGAGGACTGCAGAGAAATTGTCAATATAAATGATAATTTGACCCCAAGGCAGGTTGAAGAAACTGGGTGGTTATGGGGGCGGGGGGAGCACACAGCAGTCGGCCCAGCTGTACGCTCTGTTGGATGCATTCTAATAGAGAAAGACAACAATTAAGGTATTAGCATTTATTTAGGAAAAAAACTGTCATACAGTACATTTGAGCAGCTGCCCTTCTTCAGCTAAGGTAGAGAACTATTAAGTTATTAGTGAATATTTTCCCTTACAGATATTTTGCTTGGGATCTATTCAATTTCTGTAAGGGAAAACTCATCTTCACAGATTCGTTCCTTAAGCATGCATGATCCTTCATAAATATTTATCTAGAATGGGCCCCACTTATGCTGTTTGCTTAACTGCAGTGTAACACAGGTTAGTAATTTGGAGATTGACAGATCCTCCCCTCCCACAAACATGGACACATCAAGAGTAGACCTGAAATGTATGTTAGGGAAGTTTCTGTGACAGAGAGCACTGCTGTACAGGAAATTCCCACCTCTAACCTAAAAACGCTGAACATGCCTCTGGAGTAGAGAGGGGGCGGGGGGGAAGAGAGAGGGAGACTGGAACATGGCAAGGACCATGAAACCATCTAGGATCCTCTCTGTACTCAAATGAATGATAACCTGAACACAAAAATTGTATGCAAAGTGGATTTTATCATCTTGTTTAATTACAATGGACACAAGCAATGAGGGCACAGTGTTATACTCATCTTGATGGCATTTCTTATTTTAGATGAAATGCAGCAATTTTAAAAAATATAGATCTGACCGGCTTCATCATTTCAGGTACTGCTCTGTTTGCCTATTGTTTGACAAACTGGTAAAAGAAAGAAATGCGGGGGGAGACAGCCCTTAATCATTTCTCTTTTTTTTTTTTTTCTGTAGAGATTTGCCACACAGAAAAAAAAAAAGGCCATTAATAATAATGATGAGAAATAGTGAGCAGAAAGAACATCTAACATGGAGGTAGCAGAAGGAACAATCAATTTGTACAGGCAGAGCCTGTGTTTTTTCTGTCAGGGTATTCTTACAGCAAGTAAGAGTCTATTTAACTTCTGTATACATATACAGAGGACTTTCTAAATGTTTACCAATTCTTTTCAACCAGTAAAGGCCATTTTCAAAATTTATGGGGTTTGTACAGTCAAAACAAATGTTGTTTATTCCAACGGCAGACTCATAACATCACACTTCTCTCTAGCCTCATTTCCAGTTATATTTTGAGTTTCTGTGACCAAGCTAACATTCCTCAGCGGAGAGCTCCTCAGGCAGGTGTTAAACCTGAAAAAACATGGAAAATACTCCATGCAACAAAGTGTGTGTCTGTCCTGTTATTTTGAGTTACAGCAAGCTCAGATGGAAGTGACCATGGGCCATATTATATCAGCTGTGAGGATTTTGAAAGTGTATTACACCCTCTTTGCTACAGAGAGGTGTGCTTTACTAGCTGCTTCCACACACAGACAGTACAATAAACCCACTTTCTGAGCAGTAAACATCTATGGGTGAAAAACATATTATATTAGTTGTTACTGTGGTATATTAACATACTCCAACCATAGGAGTGACCAGAACACCAAAAGAAAAGAACATTAGGAGTAATTAATGAGTTGAGTTCGTTATAGGAATCTCCTGAAGTACCACTTCAACTAATGCCTATACAGTCTTACCTGGTTCTTCATTTCAAAGAGCTGTCTCCCTAAATTTTTGTTGCTCAGACCCTCCTTGGGACACATAAGTAAGAGAGGGCAAACCAGTAAGTCCATTTGTGTTTTGGCTGTACATCTCGCCTCCCATTCCATTAAGGAGACCTGTCTTGTGCTATAGCTTTCTTTGTGGACACCCAAGAGCAAATGGAAAATAAATTATAATAATCAAAGAATGTACTTAAAAATATTGTACATGGACAAATGCCAAACCAATAAGCAAATATGATGCTTATATCTATCCCTTATACTCATCAATCACCTCACCAACCTTGCCTCATCACTGGCATCTGAGAGAGGGACCGGTTACTTCTAACAGCTGCCACATGCAGCACCATCTTCTCCTCACCACTGGTCAGACTCTCCTTCTCACTGTGCAGGCAATTCGCCACCGTCACCTCACCAAAGTGCAGTCGCATTAATTATTTGCTACCTATGCCTTAATAATTTGGTTTATGACATAGACATATGTTTTTGCCACTCATTATGACATGCCCATCTGCCCAGATCTATGATGCCCAAGAACAAAACCAACAGAGCCACAATGGTACCGCTGTGAGCCATCAATCACTGACATCCTACCTCACAAAGTAACTGTAAAATGAAAGCTGTTTTACTTGAAGATTGAACCAAAGAATAATCTGAATTTCCTGTTAACTCTCAATACCACCCTTCTCCTAAATGATCTACAGAGAAGAAATCTAAGCAAGATGCATGTATATCATGGGACCAAGGATTTTTTTCCTGCCTTTCCAATTTCATATTGGAGGTTTGATCAGAAGAGTAGAAGACGGTTCTCCACTGTGTGATCGGCAAATTCCAACTGCTTTGACAGCACAGAATTTAGCCTAAACTTTATCTTTCACCTCTCTAACTCATTATATAAACAGATTCCATAATGCCGCCAGGATGAAACGTGGTTACTATTAGAACAAATTACAGGAGGAGAAAGGCGCACTTCCATTCAGTTTTCATGGGTAATTTCCTTGAACTCTGGATTAATATGTATGCAGAAAAAACAGCTTAAATTCCTTTAAGATACCTAAATTTTATAGTACCAGAAATTAAAGAGCTTTGTATCTGTGAAAGAAGTTTTCCAACTGAAATACTTTATCACCATCATACAGGAAACAGTGTCTTTTAAAACGGAAAAGAGAGGAACGAGAGGAGACTGAAGAATACTGTTTAGTCAAACAGTATTACCTGCAAATTACATTACCCTGCAAATTGACAAACATAGCTAAAAAATTGCCTTAATTACCCTGATAATGGTGGAAGCTGCCACCTTGGAAGCCTGTGGGCTTAAAGTAGGTACATAGGTGTACCTATGTACCTATGTACCACCTTCTGCACAGTGGCAGAAGCAGCATTCTCTGCATTGCCCTGCCAATATACCTCACTGCTAACCGGAAGGGAAGGACTTCCAGGAATAGGAAGGCTGCAGAAAGAACATCTACTTTCAATCACCTCTCTGTTCTTAGCTCTTTTGTGGACACTGTGCCAAGAGGCTAACGGATGCTGTTTATTTCTATGCATACAAAAAAGAAGGAGAGAAACAAAAACGGGCATTTTGCCAACTGAGGGGGTTGGATACTGGCTGATCTCAGGTTAGACTGGAAACCAACTCAAAATGATAAAGCTTTACAGAACTCAGACTACATGACCACGGTCCTAAGAGCCTCACCCATGCAGATGAACCTGTACACATGCTTATTTACCCTTAGCTGAGGCTAAGTTAGGGCTCACACTGGGTTCTATCTCCCAAAAACACCTCTTTGAGAGAGCAATCATCTTCTGGCCCCGAAATAGTTAGTTACATCTGGTCCTCATTCAGGAAAAGGGAAACTTTACACATTTTAACAATCTCAAGTCTCTGTCTTCCTGGAAAGCGTGAAATAAGAAGCATAAAAAATGACACCACAGGACCTTATAAGAGAGTTAAGAGCATATTCATTAGAAATGAAATACAAAATACAGTGATGCTGCAGGACAGGGGGTAGCAGGCGAACAAGACCCCCACCATTCCCTACCTTCACCCCAATCCAAGGAATGCACCTATATAATACAAATTAGAGATCTCAAACAGGGGGGAGGGGAGGGGTTTTACAAAGTGATTTTCTTGCTATACAGAAAATATATTATTTGCTGGAAGTCACTGCTGAGCTGTTAGGGGCCCAGGGTCAGTCACTGCTCGAAACCCCCTGAAGGCTCACTGACCCCTACTGCTTTCCCACCAGTTTGCTGAACACATCGTAGATCTCTGGCTTTTCCTGTGCAAACTGCTCGGCTGTATTTTTCTGTAGCCAGTCGGATGAACGCATCTGTTGCTGCAGGAGGCCAATGAGGTCACCAAGGTTGGAGCTACCGGCACAGGTAGGCTCCTGCTGGCGGGACACAAAAATTACTTCATCTGTGCTGTCTGCTTTGCCATCCTGTTCTGACTGACAAGGCTGCTCCTTCTCCTCGGCCAGTATCTCCTGCTCCCGCTCTTCCAAAACCTTGCGGATCCGTTGCATACCTGCAGTGGTATAAGGAGGAGAAACACTAGTGGATTAGGTTAAGCCACAAGTGTCCCCAAATCCATCAGATCCAGAAAAATTTGGAGGATGGAAGGAAAGGGAGGAAAAAACAAGAAGACGAGGATAATAATAATAGGATAAGTTTAGGATTAAGGAGGGGAGGAAACAGTGCTGCAGAAATTCTGGTGGGAGGAAAAAGAGAAGAAAGCATTACTCACCTAACTGTAGCCGGTGGGTCTTGTCAGCAAAGATGATGCGGAACCATCCGGGTTCACTGCATTCAAAGGCTTTACCGCAGGACAAGAGGACCTTGTTATCCAGAAAACGCCTCCAGAGCAGCATCTCCTCCTCAAATGTGCCTGTCCTGAGGTACTAGGAGAGTCAGGAGAAGTGCCAGAGGTTAGAAACATATAAGCTAAATCACTGAGATCCTCATGAATTTGTGATTCCCATGAGGTCTGCAAAGGCCAGGGGAGACACCTTTTACCTCTGAAGTACAGCAGTTGTGATATAAAGGAAGAAATGGGGAGGAAAGTGGCTTGAGAGCAGTAAGATTCCTGCAAGGAGGGAAATGCAGACAGACGAAAGGAAAAGAACGGACAGAAATACTGGGCAGCCCTTCCCTCTGCTCATCAGACAACAAATTTGTTAAAACCAAATGCTTATCACAATATTAAACTTTCCTCTAGATGCAGTTGCACCACGTGCCTGCCCTCATCCCAGGGGAAGCCTCCTTTCCTAAGACTACCAACCTTTCGGAAATCAATCCAGACAAAGAAGCCTGCATTGCGGTTGAGAAAAGGAACCCCAAGTGTCTTCAGCTCGTCTGTCACATACGTATGGGCAGCTTTTAGGCGGGCATGGTTGGCCCTCAGGTACACCTGGTTGATCCAGTCTGACCAGAAGGAGAAGATAAAGAAAAAAATCACAAACTGAGCAAGAATTCAGATCCGTTCAAGTTTCCAAAACACTCACAGTGCCTTTTTCCATTTCACCCTTCACCTCCTTTTTTTGTTTTCTGTTTCCTCAAATAGCAAAAAGAGGGGCAAGAACTATTTAGCAGTTTCATGTCTGTGCAGAAGAATATCTTCTTGACCTTCCTGAGGAAGTTTCCCTACATTCATAGCTCTTAGTTGCTGTGGACTGTTAGCACTCCATCCAGGGCAAAGCTAGAAATCCAGTTCCATTTCCCTCGTCCCACAAGCCTGTATTCTTTGTTTCTGGTCAGCTGGTTCTACACAACGCTGGCTATTTCTATACAAATAGCTATCACATTTCTTCAGAGCTGCTCCTCTAATTCTGCTGATCAGGAACTCTGCAGAAATGGTCCTTTTCTGTAGAACTGTCAGCCTCGTGTTACATGGGCAGCTTCAGGAATACAGAAGACTGTCAATTAAGCTGTACAAAGAGAAGACCACTTGGGAAAGTAAGGGGAGGGGATCCCCCAGGTACCAAGACACACAGAATGGCAGAGGATCATACATGGAGCTACTGACTCACCTCTGTCTCTAAGCAGCTGTGCAACCTTGTGCTGGACGGGTCCACAAACCCCATGGAAATAACACAAAGAAGCCACTGCATTAGCAACATCTTGGTTCTCTGTATATAAAGTACCAAAACGAATCCCAGAGACAGCAAAATCCTGCAGAAGACACGGAGAGACTACTTTATTACACAGGAAGACCGGGATCCTATTACTACTGCCTTGTTCTTTCCAGCATGAGGAACCTGACCAACCAGGTCAGGTCAGGTTGACCTGAACCAGGCCAACCCTACCAGCCAGGAAGCCACGGCACAATGGCGACCAGCACTCACCTTGCTTATTCCCCACATCACATGAGTCCGCTGTGGATCAGGCAATCTGTATGTAGAAGGATGCAGATGGGCAGTTAGTGTCATAGGTGCTGAAGCTTTTGGATCACCAGTGCAGCATTGCAGAAACAGAGAGGCAGCATTACACAATGACAGACAGTGCAGCACGGAACATCAGTCAAGTAGGGAAAATTCAAATCCGACCTAACTTTAGAATCTAGGAACTCCCTGGAACTAGTTTTAGACACAATTTTTAAATATTTCAGACATAGAGATACTTGCAAGTGCTATATTTCATGCGCAGGTTTCCTGCGCATATGAAGCTTGTACATATAATACTACAAATCAGGCCTGTGCCAATGTATTTGCCAAGAATTAGAAGTAATTTTCTTTCTTTCAAACCCCAATATTTTGCAGAAGGAGATAAAGTTCTTCTTTTGCAATGTCGTACATCCAAGCCCAGCAACACTGAGCTAACACTTAACCAAGTGTATTTTATTTCCTTGCAATTGAGCACAAAAAGAAAGATAGCACCACTGGTGAAAACTAGAAATTAAAAAAAAACCCACACAAAAAACCCCAAAAAACCCCACACCATATTTTTAAAAGGTGAGATTTGAAAAGTTTTTCATCTCATTAAATCAATACCTAATAAAACCCATTCTCCAGTCTGTAATAGCACTGTGATCCGTGACTACTGTATGAAAAAAAAGAAAGTAAACAGCAACAGAAAGTCTTCACAGGCATCAACAGAAATGTGGGAAAGAGGTAACAATGTTTAGGTAGGAAGAAAAGCCTCGCTCTCAACAAATGAAACATCTGTTTCCAGTTTTGGGGACTGTCACAAGCAAATACCGAAGCACACATTGAAAAGTATACCACAACAGAAAACTAACTACCATTTTTTACTTGCTAGATTGCACTTGACAAAATGCATTTGCCATTTAGAAATTACAAAAAACAGGAGATCAGCGTAAGGCAGATTCAGAATTTGCTAGCTCATGACTTAACTTCCAGTCACAAGTTCTCAGCAAGGCATCATGTTGAACTGTCACTGGAAGATGGCCAGGGAAGTAGGAGCTGATTTTACCTGTCCATGCCTAGGACACTGTGAAACGTGGCTGATTCATCAAAAACTGACAGCATGTAGATCTCATCTACTATCACATGCAATTCATGTCTGCAAAAGGACAAAATGGAGATTACAAAAGGCGGCTGCTTCTGGTTTAGAAGCAGATATAAATTCAGGCCTGCAAAGTCTCGCTTTATACAAAGAAGAGGGACACCAAATTTTGCGGAAGCAAAGCATTTTTTTCACAACTCAGAAGGTCTATTATGTGTACATTGAAGTGATTTGAGATATATCCACCTGTCACCCACTGCAACCATATAACAAGATAAAAATTTAGTCATTTCCAATGCACTGGTGAAAATTAATTCCTGTATGTACTACCCGTCTAGAATAAGTTGTATCATCATCCACGCAGAATCTCACAGATTCTGAATCTCAGGGAGTATCCGTGATCGATGATGAAGCTGGGAACCCATATTCATATATTTCTTTGTCTTTGCACATACAGAGAAACTGAGAGGAAAGAAACTCAGCTTCCTACCAGAGAAGCACAATGCCATAGTGTTTGCTAGGACCACCAACAAATAAAACTTGCATTCCTTGATGCAAGTTGCTTTGCCACTCCAGATGACTGCATGGTCCATGTTCTCTTGTCCCCAGCACTCCGCTCTCCTCTCTTAAGCCCACCACTGTGTCTGAAGAATAGACTGTTTGCCTGACTTAAAAGATATTCACAGATAAATTCAGGGACAGTGAGTAGTCCACCAGATTCTGGAAGCCGTATCCGACTCAGGATGCCTCAGCCTTCCAAACTGACATACCTTTTAGCAAATTCCAGGTAATCCCGTAGCTCTGACAAGGAGTAGATGTCCCCGAGGGGATTTTGGGGATTCAGAAGAATTAAGGCCCTTACAGTGACACCCTGCAGAACACAAATAACACAGTATTAAGAGAGCGCCCATCATGAGATAAATTTTCAGTCCCTCTGCTTGAGCAGTGAGTGTGACACAAGATTCCCCTTGAGCTTCCACCATGATTTTTCACCTCAAAGGTTAGATTTGTATGAGAAAACTTTCAGCCACAAATTAAGATTTTTTTTATAATTATACCACTTGCAAAGTGAACTGAGGAAAAGATTATAGAATGAATCTATGACTTTGAAAAGGGGGAGCCTGCCACAACTGTTGCCATCTGGTCAACCAATTAATGAGAAAGATGCTCTCACACGTTCTCAGCATGGAAGAGAACCTTCTCCGAGCTGTATCAGTAACTGGGAAGTAACAGATTACTGAAGATTGCCCATGAATGAGGCAAGAAAGATAGGAATTTGAGCTATGTGGATGCAAACTGTTCTCATTTAGAGCACACTTGGCTGGAGATGTCAGAGCCGGTACTGATCTAAAGATGCGGCTAAACATATATAGGGCTTAGGACAACGTGAAAACTTACAGACTAATTATTCAGAAAGGTGATACTCATTTGCATTTATCCTCTAGATTTGCACCTCTCCCTCCTGCAAAAACTCTCGGTGTTCTTAGTGGATTAATCTGCACTACTGTGTAGAGCAGTCAGTTTTGGGGTAACTCAGCTGGCCTTCCTGAAGGAGAAACCCTGGGTAGTCCCCAGTTTTTAGTGCACGCCCAAGTACATTTTTTTTTGTGATATGAATGGGCTCCAGTGCTTTGTGAATGGTCCGGTACTCCTGGTTTTTCCTTTCTGCTGTGACCAAAATTGGACAGACACGACACCGGGCGATTCCCCCTAAGACTGCCCCTGAGTTTGCAAGCAGCCTCATCTCAGTTGGTCTACAAGGACAACCAGAAAGCCAGGTGCTAGGTTTTGAAAATGTTTTGATCTTCAGGCCACATATTGTAGACTTAACTGGTGATGTGAAGCTTGGCCAAACTCACCTCTGCCCGGGCATCCTGCAAGGCTTTTTCCAGTTTTTCCACTGTAAGCTGAAAAGGCCGAGTGCTTGTTCCAGTAATCTGAAAGACATCACAAAGATAAAAAAGGCCACGTTTTTTCAATAGAGTCTGCCTTGAGCCAATCCCCTGAGAAATGTTCCCCAAAAGAAAATAAAAACCCAACAATAATGACCTCGCAACCATTTTCTTATCTTTTTATACTACAGAGAGAATAAGTAAATAAATAAAATCAAAGAAATGTTCATCATAGGCTGGCCACACACACAGAATTCTCTGGTTATCCTTGAATAACTAAAACAATGCAAGACCTCCATCTGCTCTTCTACCCCTGGGACCATCTTTAGTAGGACAGTACATACTTCTGTCTTCAAGGCTCAAAATGGCCATTTTTTTCCTCTCAAGAGCCGTTATTGGGAGTAAGATACAAGAAAAGGACAGGACTGGAATCCAGATTTATGGTCTCGAACAACTTTCTTGCAAATTATGTGCCCAGTTTCCCAGCAATAAACTGGGAAAATGTCCACAGGCTGCAGCCTATCCTCATTCTGAGGACTGCTTTCAGAGGTTCCCAAAGCTCGGCACTTTCCAGTATCAATTATAACTACAGAGGTTGGTATTCCCTTCCAGAATCTGAGGTAAGATCTTACCTTACTGTCTAAATAGGCATACACCAGCTTGACATTACCATAGAGGAAGACACTCTGGGTAATACCACCGTAAAAGGGAGTAGCAATCAGAACAGCTTCTGGAACCGAGAAAACAAAATTGTTTATCAACAGGTCACAGTCCTTCTCTCTCTTCTAATGTACTTCATCTAAACATGAAAGCTTTTTTACAGCTGTGCCCTCTGGAAACACTGTAATGTTACTGCCTTTTCCTCCACTTCATTTTTACGTTAATTCTTTAATCTTCTGCAAGAACCCAAGTAAACATGAGTATAGCACACTTTTAGTCTAACAAACTAAAACAGGGCACCACGAAAACAGTGAAGGCAGACAGGGCAAGACACCAAGTGTGAGTGCATGACATCTGCAGACCATGGAGATGATGAATTTCACAGCACAACCTTGCACGAAACGAACTTTGCAGTAGGCCAATGCCAGTTCCACTACTTCATTTCTGTCAAACAATATTTAAACAGAGTAACACATTATTTCCCATGAAAAATAAACATTAAAAACATCTCCCAAAATCCACTTACCCCCTGGATCACAAAGTACTGTAGCTAATGCAGAAAATAAAGAGCCACAACCATTTAAAACAATCACCTACAGAAGAAAGAGAGAGGCTAGTGATAAATCTGTCCATAGAAAGACAACACTATAAAATAATAATTTCTGACCATATCACCGAAATATATTTTCTCCCCAATTCTTTAGCACGGATGTTCCCATAATTTTCCTGCTGAAATCCCACTTCTACCAGAAATACATTTAACCCTGTTCTTTGCTTCAGAGACACTTTGTCCGGTGCTGTTCTCGATTCTAATAAGCAATTTAGAAAAAGAGTAGGCTTTAAGTAGGGAAAAAATTGGGGAGCAGTTCTGAACTGCTAGAAAAGCAAACTACTTTTCATCAGCTAATGTGTTATTGTCTCTTCGTGGTAACAGCAGCTCCAACCTTCTGCCAAATTTGTGCAAAAGTAGAAACCACTGTCTTGTACAGGAGCAGGTTTGACTCCTGCTTCTAGAAGACAGATGCTCACAAGTCCCATGAGTGTCACTCCAAGTATCAGGCAGAATCTGCTGCCTTGGAGAAGCAGTGACCAGCAAACTGAACTTCAGTTCACGTGAAGTATGGGCTTCCGCTGAATTATTGCAGCCAGAAAAGCAATGGCTGCACCAGCTCCTGCTGCCTTCAGCACTCAGCAGAGGCAGGAGTCCCCGATCTCCACAGGCGCCTGCACCCAGTCTGCATCTCTCCCAAGTCAGCAAGTCCTGCAGAGACTCAGGTCTTGATGCGTTCCTTACAACAGTGCCGCAAAGTTTGAAAAGGTCTGTTTTTACAGGCTAAAACTACTCTTGGCTCAATTACAGATTTTTGTCCTGAGGTGTAACAGCAGAACGGGATGAAATTAAACTTGACTGAAACAATGGGCACTCTTTGTCAAGGCTGAGGGATACAGGCACAGTAGATCCCAGAGCTGAGTAAGGAGATGAAAACATAAAGCCCCACTGAGAGTACTGGCATGAGGAGTTGGCACACAAAAGTAAAGCATGAGGCAAATATACAGTACACCCGAAGTGTTTTGGCTGAAGTGTGCATCAAAAGCTACTGAAATGGCAATGAATCAATCTCATTTACATGATAAAAGGCTGTCATCTTACCAAATCATTTGTTTAAAAAAAGAAGATGAAACTGTTTGACAACAAATGGCAATACATTAGAAGAGACACCAATGGAAAGTGGGTTACCCACATTTTCTGCCTTAAGAGGTGCAGGGGCCTTGCAGTAATAGGTCAAAAATCGAGCCACTTCCTCCCGTAAACTGAGAAAGACACAAAAGCAAATATTGATTCAGCTTATTCTCCAAGAGGCTGGGCTTCCCCAGGTCCACATCTCGGGACAATAAAGCCAGGGCACAGTAAAGTCTGGTGAAAATAGCTAGAAAACAGGATAGCTCAGGCCCATGCCACAGACATGACTTTTACACACAGCAAAGGTGTCACAGATAACGTCTATAATGCTGCATACATTTCTGATGAGCTTTAATCGAGGCACAGAAGAGAAGATTAAAGTCCCCAAGTGTTCACTATGTTTCAAAGAACTGTTTGGCGTTACCTAATTTGTTAATGTATACAGTGCTTTTAAAACTCTGTTTGCTTTAGAAAAATTGCACCTTCTCTCACATAAAAGGTTTTTTAACTGGATGAACTGGTAGGGCAGCTAATTTACAGTTTTGCAAAGAAAAAGATGATTAAATGACCTAGAAAAGTTTTAACTAGTGAGTGTAGCAGAACAAGTTTGTATTCATCCATTCTGCTTATCAGACAAGTAGTCAAAAAGAGAAGCATTACAGAAAAGAGAAGACTTACAACATATGTCCCTTCCAATCAGGATACTGAAGCAGTGGAGGCTCCATCAGATTCATATCGGTCTGTGTCAGCTGGGAGCAACAAGAAGAACCATTAAAAGCACAATCACTGATATCGGAAACATGGAGGTAGACGGGATCCATGTACAGGCACATACCTGCACAGACACGCACACACACACGTGCAACTTCAACGGTTGTAAAACTGGATTGAGAAAGCCACTGACCATCACAATTAATGCAGCTTGGAGAAGCAAGGACCAGCAAACTGATCAGTGATAACTTCAGGTTATGTGAAGTACGCGCTTCTGCTAAGTTATTGCAGCCAAAACTTTGCTGCACAGAGATCTACAAAAAGGACGCAGAATGGGCAATACACACAATGCCCATAACCAAGATGCCTGCAGAAGACTTTCTCAGCAAATGAAGCAACCCAAAGAGTCCCAAAGAGTGTTTCGCCCAAGCTCTGAAGACAACAGCTTTCAGCTGGAAAGTAAGTCCCAGTTGTGAAAGCTCAGGTCTAGACTGTCAGAAAGAGATAGGAAGTATTTTGAATCACAGTCAGATACGTATTTTCTTTAATAAACTTTCAATATATTAAATTTATTAATGAATTCTAGCTTTCATTTATGTCTCAGTTCCAAGTTACTGCAGCTCCTTCAGATCTATAATTCTGATAAGTTTTGGTAAGTGTTAAAGCGTAACAGGAGCTTTCAAAAGACAGGAGAAAAATGAAATTATCTTCTTGATAATTCTTCCCTGGGTCAGGCACTTTGTTCCTTATTAAGAGTTCATTCTGATCTCAAAGACAGATTCACCTGAACTGTGGAGCCCTTTTTAATGTTTATATTTAGATAAAGTATGCACACTGCTTTTATCTAAATATTTTCAAGGTTGTAAATATCAGGGTTTCACATAATCCAGTTCTATGAAGTTGCAAGGGAAAGCACAGCAGTGATATGGGCAGAGAGGACATTTTACATAAACAAAAAGGGAATAAACAAATATTATGTACAATGTACCTTCCAAATATTTAATGGCAACCAAATCTATGAGTTAATATTAAAAAAGGCGAGGGTGGAGGGACACGACAAGTAGGTGATAGTGCAAGGGAGGAGGGAAATTCAACATGCAGTGTGAAAGTTTCTCACATAATAATAAAACCACAACATTCTGTATCGGTGTTTTAATAACTGGTGCCAAGCTCTGGAGTTTAAAGACACTGTCCTTATCCCATGCAAAATTACAACCTGATATTATAGGATTAAAGTTCCTTTATTCAGCTGCAGATGTTCTTGAAGCCTACGTAGCACAGAACAGTGCCTCCTTAGATCTCTCTCCTAAACCTATCTAGAGAATGCAACATAAAACACATCAGCAAACTTGGCCAAAAATGACTATGCAATAATAAAGAGGAGAACCCTTAAAGGTAATGCATTAAGGGCTAAGGAAGCCAGATGGGCCAAATGAAAGGAAGACCATCTGAGATGTCACGCCACAAAATATTCTTTAATTTAAGGGTCAAAAGTTGAAGACAGAAATGTGATACATTATTCAGTGGAAACAGTAAGTATTTATTATCCCAAATAGCAACAAATTATTTGCCTACAATCCCAGCTGGTGCTGCATTCAGTGAATCCATACTGTCACTCCAGGCTGTGATGACCGAGAAGCTGGCAACAATATCTTTGTTCAGCTTGTTGCCACAAGCGTGATGGCTCATCTCACTATAGCTTACAAAGTCTTAACTCATTTTCGTAATAAGGCCAATTAAGATGCAGCTGACTACCGTCTCCCTCTGCACTACTTACTGCAGGCTTGGTGTTAGTTTTAAGGGGAAAGGACAGCGAAGGAAGGAAGGTACCACCTACGCAGCCTAGAAGGCACCTTTTTTGTGCAGGCAGCAGCTCTGCCTTACCTGTTCTTTTAGCTGGAAGGCGGAGTGGTGGGGTAGCGTCCCCCCGAGTCAGTGGAGTGGCAGGCAGAAATAAAACAAGGAACATTTTGAGGGTGGGAATTGGTGGAACGGGAGCAACCATGAACTTCAAACCACAGAGGCCGACTGTCCGACCCTGAGCCACCTTCCCTCCCCACAGACAACTTCAGGTAGGAGAAACTGCCACCTGCCTGCCTCGCAGGCTGCACCTGGGCAGTGATTTTAATGGAAATCAAGAAACATTCCTCTAGAGCACGGTTCTGTTGTTTTCTTTTCACTTTTTCCACTTTTTGAGTTGTGCTGTGTTTCATGCCTCTCCCTGGTGCAACTGAACAAAGTGAGCAGGTAGCAGCTGACCCAGTCTGATTTCGAGAGATTTCAAGAGCTGCCACCGTTCACTGCTGCCACCCTCACACATTTCAGGTAAATTCAGAACTGGGTGTCCAAATCGTGTGACTTTATAATGAACAGATGTGAAGATCCTTGACATTAAATAGAGTTCAAAACTAATTTCAAAACCTCTGTATTAAATCAACTACTGTCAGCAGGAGAAAATAAAATGCATCTTATTTTCTTTTAGTTTTCTGAGCCAAATACATCCCCAAAGAGAAACCCATCATGAAGAGGAATGGAAAAACACCCTTCTTCCTATCCTTCTGGAAAAATAACATAAATAAATGTACAAATAGCCGGACTCAAAAGCAACTTCCAACAAATAAAAAATTCACAATGAAAAACTTTACCAGAGAAACCTGAGCAACAGAAATAACTCTGGGAAAGTGCAAGCACTGAGGAGAAGCTACACAGCAAATTCAGTATTTCTTTTTGGAATAGGACTTACCCGCTTAGACATCAGGTCAAAGCAGAGTTTATTCTCACTGGTGCCGAAGTTTATTATACCCTAGAAAAATAAACAATTTCTTGTTTATAGACACAAAAAACACGTGCATACATCACCTTAGCTATCACTTCACTAAATTGCCTCCAAAAAGCTTACCAAGGAAAAGCCAAAACACAGTTCACATAAACTTCACCATGTATAACTTGAGACACATATCTCTGTGTGTGTGTTTACATATATATCCCAGGCACTCAGCTTCTTAGTCAATAAACTAACAGTTCGTACTTCTTTACAGAGTATGTTTAACTTAATCTTGAATTCACTCACTGGTATATATCTAACTACAAAAGAAACCCTAAAACAATTCTGAGAAAACCAAGGTTTACCCTTCTGCAGCAGTTTTAAACAACTTTTTGGATACACTTCCTTATCTAAAAGCATTTGTTTATCAATCATTACCATTCCACTCCACAGATTTGCTCAGAAACCACATAAACATGTAGTCATGAAAAGTGGTTAAAACACTACATTTTCCCCTCTGGAGAGATGACCCTACAGTTCCATGTTTAGCGTTTGGCCCTGCTTATTTAGCACTACATTAGATCTTGAAGAGTTCAAATCTACTAGCACATTTTCATTATTGGAAGAGGTTAGGTAAATACGTTTTTAAAAATGCAAAAGGAAATCTAAGCAGCTGTACATTTATGATGTTACTAAAGTACAAGTCCAATTTTAGGTATTTGTTTAAAAAGCTACCTCCTACATAAGCAACAGTTGGCAGAAGAGGCAGTTTGCGCCTCATAATGCACCTTGTATCAAAAACTTCACTGTGTTTTCCTATCTTAGAAATCTAGTTTTCACCTCCCAACACAGTGTGACTAAAGTCAGGGCTAATAATAAAACATTTTTAAAGTTTCAAGTAGTTCAGTATCTGAATGCAAGATCTATTAAAAAGTAATCCACATATAAATCATTATTTATATTTACTAATAATTATTTATATTTACTATACTTGTTACTCAGTAATAATCTGCCATGAAGGATTAACACTCAGCCTTTGTGCCACAAGGGGGGTATGATGAGCTACTTACAATTGAGCAGCTGAGTGTTAGTTAAAAGTAATTTAAAAAAAAGTCTACCACTTAGTTGTTGTACCTCCTGCACCCATCACCTGCAATAATCAGATATAATCAGATAATCAGAGATGGTCTTCAGTGGGCAACAGAGGTGATGAGGTGAAAGGAGAAACAGGAGCTCTGTTTGTTCCTGCAGATTTCTTACATCTTTCAAGGTCTACTATTGCTATTATTTCCCCGACAAGGAAATCAGAGCGTGCAAACCTGAGCTGAACAGGTTCATCTTTGATATACAGACGATCTGCAAAGCTACTTTTCATTTCTCTTCCTCAAACAAACAGCTTGACCCGCCATGTATTAGCGAGATCAGAAAAAACCCCACACTTCTAGCATATCTGTCAGCAAACCTCTAAGAAAGTTTTTTTCCTAGCAAGAAAGCCAGGAAAACACTCTGAGGTTCTCACTCACATTGGGGTTCTTGTCTTCATCATACTTGTCAGCATGATAAGCTTTGTACCCTTCCTCGGTGGAGCCACGAAAAATGTTGGCAATGTTGCCGCGAGCAGAGAGGTAGGGACTTCTCTGGAAGTCGCTGGGGTTACAGAAGCTGTGCATGTCAACCCTCCTCTCAGTAAGCGGCCGAGCCCGTATCTCTTGCAGGTGCCCCCTCCTTCCTCCCATTCCCGCAATTTCGGACAGCGCCTGGCTGAAGCCTCCTCCTCCCGATCCCGCAATTTCAGACAGCGCCTGGCTGAAGTCCAAGCCCCGAGGCATCGCAACGGAGGAGGAGGAGCCGCTATGGCTCTGCTTTAGGATGCTGAGCATCTGAGCAAAGACATTGAACATGCGGAACTCATGTTCCCGCTCCAGTTCAAACCGGCGCTGCTCCAGTTGCATCCGACGCTCCTCCACGTCCAAATCTCGCTGAAATCGGCGTTCTTCCATCTGCAAAAAGCGCTCTTCCATGGCCCGCTGAGATGTCAGGGTCTTCAGCAAGAGATCATCGAGCGGGTCCTTCACGCGCTGGCCTTTCCGCTTTTTTCTCAGCCGATGCAAGGCGGAGAAGCCAGGCCGGGGAACCATGTTCTGGACCCGTGATGAGTTTGCCATGTTGGGCTCACTGAAACCTGTGAATATGTAAAAGCAAGGAAGAAAAATTAAACGCGCAGCAAGTAAAGTGGCGTGGGCATGCTTTGCTGCCTTCCCGTGCCCTTCCTAGGAAACACCCCTCGATCTACTGTAGGGTTTTACAGGAAAACCAAAGTAAAACCTGTCAGGTACATCTTGAAGTTTGCGAGTTTCTTTGAAGTTTGTTTTTAACTTCACACGTGGGCACCCCATTATGCTGCCAGCCCCAGCCCCGTACTTGGCCTCTGAATTAACCCAAACGATCATCAGTTCCCTCCACTGGACTAACTACGCAACCACCACGGCAAAGAGGACATAGCATTCTTCATGATCTCAGACATCAACCTCACACTGGTTATCATCTCTCTTCTTCCCCATCATGCCGTGCTCTTCCATCAGCCTGTCCTAGACCGGTTTGAAATCCCCAGGATTTCCAGACTGTACCCTTCCTGGCAGCCAGGCAATGGCCAACTGCACGTCCAGTGCAGGAGTCTCATCTCCTGTAAACAGATACGCTGTTTCTGCCAGTGACTTTCAAAAACATCTTCTTTCCAAGTCCTAATTAATAGCTTAGAAAGCCAGGCAATGATTATTCCCAAGTATTCTTCATTGTTGAGTGTCCTAAAAGATTAGATCTGGAAAATATTTTAAAAGAACGCAAGGACAGTTTCACCTGCAGGTTTATAGTGTAGCCATGGCAGAAGAGGGTCTCCTGATACAATTCAGCATGAGGACCACAGACAGCCCTGGTCAGGTTCAAATTATACCAAAAAGCATGCAGGTTTTTTTTTTTCCAATAAGGTAAGTACTGTCAGCATTATATGCAGAAATCTAGCACAAATGCCTAGCCCGGCTTATGGCAGACATGCCAGCCCTTTGGATTTCATACACAGTATTTAGCCTAGCGCAGTAATTTTAGATTTTATTTACCTGCAGCAAGATACGTTTCGGGAATGGCCAGAAGACTATGAATGCAGATACCAGCCTTCTACTTTAAAGCTTTTTGGGATGTGGAAAGATAAGGATCCAAACGTCAGTGTGAAAACCAGGTGTCTATCTGTGCACCAGAAAAAAAAATCTCTCTTTCTGGGAAACTGGGCAGAAACCTTATGCTGGAATGTAAAAGGCTATCCCTACCTGAAGGTGAAACACTGGTTTCAATGGGAATCTCCACCCTGGAGATGGGAGAGTCGTTCTGGGCCCTCTCCAAGAAGGCTCTCTCCATCTCATGTTCTTCAGGGGAGCCCTGCTGGTAAGACATGGATGGTGGGGGCTCTGGGGTCAAGCAGTGTTCATCAGAGTTCACCTCCTCACATTTGATTTCCATCAGTTCAGGGTGCTGGGAGTGTCCAAAGGGCAGGGCCGAGGAGGCAAACTGGTGATGGTAGCTCTCCACCATGCTGCCCTGCAGCACCTGCTGAGCCATCATGCTGCCGCTCAGGGAGCTGTAGGCCAGGGCGGGCCGGCTGGTCAGCACCCGGTCCATCACCTCGTAGAACTTCCACGTCCGGCCACCCCGCGGGGCCTTGCTGTTGTCCTTGATCCGCCGGTACTCCAGCTTCATCTTCTTGATCTTCTCCCGGCACTGGTCGCCCGTCCGGTGGATGCCCTTCTCCCGCAGCACCTCGGCGATGCGGTTGAAGACATGCTGGTTGCGCAAGCAGCTCTCCAGCTCCATCTGTACCGACTCATCGGCCCAGAGCTGCAGCAGCTCCACCACCTCGGGGTCCGACCAGTTACTGCCGCGCTCGTACTTCTT